GTCGTAACGACTCAAGCGTAGATTGACCAACAAATGCTACCAAGTGCAGCGAAGCTGCCATAGCCCTTTGCTTAAAGGAAGCTAAGCTAAGGTCACCGACCTTACATTCTTTACAAAAACCAGTTGATCGCAATCTGCTTCCTTCAAGAGTACTCAAAATCTTGGCTAAGGCAAATAAACTCTTCTGTTCAAAATTGAAAGTGTATTTAATTGTTTTATATGCGTCCGATATCCCGCCACCTTGTGGCTTCTTGTTACGCTGTATTCACACCATTGTGTGATTACACTGACTTGTGTAATCCATACCTTTGTACGGTCACACCATCGTGTGTGACCCACCCCCGTATACCAGGTACGTGTTACCCTGTTGCATGCTGGGCAACCAGAAACTTTCTCTTTTCTTCCTCAGAATAATCGAGTCGATCCCCGCTGGCGCGTTTTTAGAGCTTCAACTTACATTAGCTCCTCTGGCTTTACTGACATAAATATTGTGCTCTAATTAAACTGCAGCTCTCTCCGCTTTGTTGAAGGAGGTAGGGGTCGGTGGAAAGGCCCTGATGCGATGTGAGTCGCGCTCTTTCGATGGCCGTGTATGAAAATGGTATCCGATAACGCCTCCAAAAGAGGGTCTGTCGACATTGCGGTAATAAGAGTCACTCATTCATGGCAATATCCACCAGTTGTCGAACCTCTTGACGGATTCTAAGAAGTACAAATGCACCTAGTATCACAAGTCAGGCGGTGCGAATACCCGCGACGCTCCCGCTTCAGAATTTTGATGTTAAGAAGGCTTTTCTATTGTAGTTCTTCATGTTCGTGCCCATTCTTGAATGAGGACTATTACCGTAGAGACCACGAGTGTGACGCGCTGTTGATTTATTTTGTAGTATGGCCGAATGAGAGTATTTTAGGTCATTTCGACTCTTGCTTAGAGTTAAAGATTTTCTCCATCCCGGTGCCACCTGTGCTCCCATCAGTGGCTAGTTGAGGTGATTCTGGTGGTGTCGTTTCACCGCGTTCACACAGCTGATGAGCGCCTCCATGCGAGTGATTCTCGCTTCTTGTCCTTTAAAAAAATTTATGATCCCTTTGAGATCAACAATAGACACATGCTTACCAAGTAGTTCTACTGGTCCCAGAAGATATAGCATCTCATGTTCCATCCTCTAAGTTTACATACTTCTTACGACTCAGTAATGTGATAAATCAGAAGTTGTTACGAGTGGTGCGTATCTGACACTTATGAAGCGTTGACTCTATTGTGTGCATACACCGCGCACAGAGGTTTGGTTTGTTTGCTCTGCCTGGGTGAGTTACCAAGAGCCTTAAGTAAATAAACTTATCTTGCTTTACTACTTGAATAATAATATTTTTGTTTCATTTGGGCTAGATACGTACGTTGAAACATATCCATTGAGTCAACTGTCTGTATTACTTCGTATGAAGCTACCAGTCCTCTCAGACCTCTCCTTTACAGTGTCCGCCATCTTCATGAGTATCAATCATAAATAATGACACTTATACAGAAGCGTACTGTGTAATATGGAAATTTGTGCAACGTTGAGCTCGTACAATTGTTTAGAAGTGCAAGGTGTATGTACGATTTCAAACTATTTTGTAGAGCTAGAGATCTGAGACGTACTCTATATGGTGTATGTATATACTACAATTTGCGCAATTGAACAAACTTACAACGTATCTGTGTAATTGTGAATATTCAAAAGTACTACTCTGACTTAAATTGTAAGTTAGCAGTATTATGGTGTAATAGGTTTACATTTTAAAACGTGGTACCTTCATTTCACAATATAGTAACAAGTACCAAAAAGGCATGATTGATTCTCGGTACGGATGAATGATGGAACCCCGAAAAGGAGAGATCCGTGGATACGCTGGCTGCAATAGACTCAGCTTATGTATAGGAATGTTTTGATCTATAGTAGAAACGTTATGCTGTGTAGTGCCTTACCCATCGGTAAACTTTAATTATATCAAAACTATACGGTGTTCGAGTTTCACATTGCACATTTGTCTAATTGCGAATTATCAAAAGTGCCTAAGCCTTGGAACATGTAAAGTAGATCCGTGGTGCATGAGATAAAGTATATATTTAATCCTCAATATATTTGACAACTGAAACAGCAGAGCTAACTGGAGTACAAAGCGTTCTTTTCTGTGCAAAGTGCACTGTAACCACGTTGCAAACATTTGGTACTATATTTATTCTAAATATGTCACTATGAAATGGAGACAAAACTAGTGCTTGGAAATTGAGAGACCTCGCTTCGACACCTTGTTTGAGCGCGGTAAAATCATTCTGTGTGCGTTTGTTAGCGCATACACTGATAGCCCAAGCTTCTATTTGCGAGATGCACAGCACTTCTTGCAGATATCTCATCACGATACTTCTTTTCAGCTACGCATTTAATCCGCAGGACAATATTAGAATATGTGCGTATAACGTTTTTTAGTATGCGGACTCTGTTGCAAAACTTTTTTTCTATTCGAACCGAGAGCAACTGATATGCATGAAGCATGTCTACTGCAATACATTCATTTATATGTTCCGCTGGGTTATATATTTGATTTGCCTATGCAAGGTTCCCCCGGTCTAGTACGAAGTAGTATTACATATACGTATTTACCAATGCATGCAATGCAATATTTACTAAGAAAACGGCTTAAAGAAGCGCTGACAAGAGACTAGCTATCCCGGTTGAAAACTATTTTTGGGTATGTATCTATTTCTCCCCTGTACATTATCCCATATGCAATTTTCTATCCCTTTTTTCTGTCGTTTTCAATCAAGCTAGCAAATATAGGCTGTTTCAAAAGAACACAGCTGTTTTGCAACTCACTGGTTCTTTTAGTACAAGCAGCAAATCTCCGTATGCTAAAACTACAAGTGGATATTGAGCTTGCTTTACATGTATTTTATGAAATATCAGTCCCTCAGGATAGACATCAGATTCTTCTACTTCTTCAACGCGACACTATGCCCAAACAAATATTCCATACAAGTCCAAAATCCATGATGAATTAAACTGTTTCTGATATAAAGTTCATTAGTTGCAAATTTGCTCAGCATCCGGAGAACTTTCTATCCGGACTTTATGCTGATCATAAGGAGCCATGAGAATGTTATTTATCCGGATTGCAGCTGACCAATTCGCATTTTTTCAGCACTATCTGAGAAACATATGGTTACAGTAGACTGGATTTCTGGGTTCGAGTTTTGCCTCTGGCGGCTGCCGATCATGATTGGATCTAATCTTTGAGCTGATCGGAATGATAAGTTGAAAATCACCACAAAACCTTATGGTCCAAGTATATGTACAGTCATTACGCATATACAAGCCGCTATCGAAGAGTATTATTTCTATTGCGAATAGTCATAACTGCTGAAACCTTCGAGTTATTAAAAAAAGGAGTAGCATTGCATGCAGCCCAATTCCTCTCGATGTCGATGCTGTATTTCCTTAATACCACACACACAGCTCGATTCATGGCAATCACAGCGGATAAAACACTTGTTAAAGATGTCGACGTTTATGTTGATCTATATAATGTTAGATATTAACAATAATAATTTAAAAGATTCTTGACAGTCAACAAATCGCTAAAATTGTGCGTCATCGAATGCAAAAATCAGGTCATAAAGCGTTCAGCGCAGAAAGATACTCAGAAGGATAATCTCCGCATATAAACAATTGCTGAAAAACTCTTCTTTAGGAATAGAACCAGTATATTGCAGTCGAAAGGTTTTGTCTGATTCCGTATTCTACATCTTCATGTCAGTTGCCAAATATCTCTTCACATCTCAGCACAATCTTTCTGACGTTAGTAGCCATGCATCTTCATCTGCTTTTGTTAGTTGCAACTGCAGCAATACTAGTGACAGCGGATGATACCATTCCAAGCCACGAATCGATAACAAGAGCTTTGAGAGGAGCTTCGATTTCTGACATGACGTCCGATGCACTCATCGAAAATGCCTCACCGACTTCTTCCATTGACAGCGCGCATACCAACCATCGCAACGCACGGCGTCTCTATATCTATCATGTCTACCCCCATCCCCCACCTCAACAAGAAACTTCGTGGATTAAGAGAACGATTGCCCAAGCTGGGATTACTTTTGCTGTATTCAAATGTTTGGAATGGATATTCTAGACGTCATAAACGATAATATAATAGTCTTACATGCATGAAATTATGTAAATGCGCTATTGACATTGCTACGAGACTCATAGGTGCAAGTAGTAATTATATCATTTTGAGATAAGTCACTGACTCATGAACTTGCACTACAAAAAGCAACATCGTCATCTTTTAAAATACCTGTGCACTCTCATCCTCTACGGCTTGATGTTGCGGGATGCACAGCCTGATAAAAATGTTGACCGTGTGATGGGAGAACGCGGCAAATTGACTACCCGTGCAGATTGCTCCGCGTCTTACTCCTGATCGTCTGCCACTCACAGTGACAGAATATGCCCAGCATCAAGTGAAAGTCGGGTCGTTTTTAGATTGCAGAGTTACGGTCAGCTCAACTAATTTATTATGAACGTTGCTTTCGTGCAGATTCATGGCTGGTGCTCAAATCTGGTACCTTTTGCGGTAAAGCGCAACAAACCAGACAATGAAAAATTTCAAATAATTTCTCCGCGGAAAAACTTTTTCATCTTTTTTATTTACAATAATACTTAATAGAAGCTTAAGAATTATATTTTCACTAGGAACGCGATTAACCTGTGGTAGTACAGGAAAAAATGCTAGGGAAGACATGAGCAAGAAGAGCAAATAATCTCCCCTTTCTGATTATTTTGCACGACATCAGTATTGCCATTGCCATTACGATATGCAAGAAGCAACAAAAATACAATTAGAGATTGCAAAGTTCTTCAAATGTGCTTCTTCAGCACGCGACATTGCTTAGAAGCTCATGACATCTTTAGAAATGCTGTACATTCGATAGTAGCAAAAAGTTATCGATTCATTCAACATAGACATATACAAAAAACATGAAGAAACAATAATGCGACTGTCATTATGCCGATGACTTGAAAAATGGGCCCCCACACATCATCTTCGCGCTCCTCGTGCTCATTGTGGGACCGAAGATGTTGATTATCACGAATGTCAGGATAGCGCATGATCATTTTTGGGTTGTCACGCCCTGCACCACTGTCGTTGTTTTGATGTATCGGCACAACTTGAGCGGCAGAAGGATCGACGGTGACGGCATCACTAGTTGAAAGATCGCTAAATGTTCTTGTCCTCTCTTCGATGTCTGAATTTTCAAGCGTATACCCAGCTTGCACCAAAGTGGTAACGATGATACTTAACAAAAGAAAGCTTTGAAGCATTGCAGATGTTGATATAGACCAGATGCGGCTCTGTCCAAGATGAAGAAAGTTGGATTATGAGACGCCTATAATATTTGCTGGCTTCCGACAGATCAGATTTGGATTGTATTTTATGCACCGAGAATAACATGTGTCATCAAGTATTTTATCGAGAAGCCATATCTCATGAAATTGCAGTGTTTTGTAAATGGTAGAGTTTAAGAACGTACGAGCTTAAGCTGTCACGGCATCTTTAATCTCGCTGCAATTAGAGGTAAACTTTTTCACGTTTTCCTTCGTTCAATTCGAGTTTAGCTAAGAGTTTAACCTTGTGAAATGTAACCTTCATTATATTCTCAATTTCATGTTGCTTAAGGATTTAGTCTTCATAGCCGGTGTCATTGTTTAAGTTGCTTAATTTTGTGGTAACAAAGTTTGCACGTTACACTCTTCGCCACTCGTTTGATGATAAACCAATTCAAAACAGATCTGATTTCCTCATTAACAGTTGGAGAGCTCTGTCTCTCAAATTCATTACAGTTTACAAAGTAAAAAGGCAGGCTCGTTTGCAGGATTTCTTGAATAGTAGACCTACTGTATGGGTCACAAAATATGCCTTTTATCTTGTATTTATTTACCCTTACAGTTGGTCCTCGCAATAATGTTATTGTGTACTTTTATTTATACGCATTTGGTACACTTTTTGTTGTAAAAGTTGTACGGTTGTACGAGATTCATGGTGTAATTGTGAATATAGATACCCAGAAGAGTACTCCAAAATCTTAACCAAGGCAAAAACGCTCTTCCGTATAAAATTGAAACTCTATATAATTGTTTTATATGCGGCAGAGCCGCCTATATTCAAACCATTACGAATACGCATAAAAACTGGCAGTCCTGCCACGTAGTGGCTTCTTGTTACGGTGTAGCCACACTATTGTGTGATTACACCAGTTTGTGTAATCCATACCTTTTTACGGTGACCTTTGTGTATACTTCCATAAAACTTAAAGCCAATCTATTAGTACAGCCACAATAGAAGAATAAATCTGGTATCATCTACTCTTCGATTTCGCTTCTGACTGCCGCGTAGTGATCCTCCATCCTATATGCATTGTTGGTGCCGACTCGTTGAGCATACGATTTGAATTTTTGTGCTAGATGCACGATCAATTCGTTGTACAGCGCCACTTGGTCAAGACTTAATTATGTAGTATATACAGAATAAATTTTGAAGCACATCCGTCGGTGCGAGCTTTACCTTCCAAATATAAATTTGCTCCGTTTTTCGGTGATCCTCACACTCCTGTGCTCTCAGTCATACGTGTGTTTACAGCAGTGGTTTTGATAAAGTGCTTAGTACAATCAACGTAGCTTTGTAATGTCTCGAAGTCACACGTATTATTCTATCAAATTACGTGCTAATTTATGTTAAAAATGTATGTATTAACGTTACATAATCTCTCGTGTTCGTAATTTCATGAGAGTTTCGCTCACAACTTTTTAAGATGTTTCAATCATGATATATTATGCATAGCTCAAAACACGAAATTGTTTGTGCGCAGCGTATATCGTCATGGTTCGTCCACGCACTGAAACACGATAGCACTCACTTATTTGCTACAGGATGTTGTGCATTCTGATCTTCTCGCCAAACTCGAGGACGATATTCTGACTCCAAAAGTGCTATCTAGATAGTTTTGCTGACGAAAACGAACTTGTAAGCAAAACGATTCCTAATAACACGTGCTACTTTTTGTGTTATTAGTATCACTAGCATGGCTGATAATCAAAAGATGCTAATTATTTAATCTGTTCCATGCAGTCGTGCTTATTATTCTGACAATACTCTTTTATAGGAACAACATCGGCAAAGTCTAACTTTGGCCGACTCAGTTGATGGGTCTTCACTGGTCTCATTCACCAAATCATCGATGTAGTCATCATCTCCAAAAACCGGTTCCAAATTCATTCTGTATATACTAACTACATAATAACGTGTTGACATAGTGGTGCTTTGATCGTGCACCAGCACAAAATATCACAATCATATGCTCAACGAGTAGCACTAAATATGCACAGAGGATCGTGGATCATTACGCGTCAGTCAAGATGATAACAGATTTACTCTAATATTATACTAATTGCGTAAGAAGACTGGTTCTGAGTTTTCAGAAATTACATACAAAAGATAAAATTTAGATAAGAAGCACAAAAGCACGAAAGTCCGATATATGAGATATGCATTATGCAAATTAAAGTCCCGACCTTTACGAGTGCAAAGGACAAACGTTGTCCCTAGAGCATGACATATAGAATCGCACGTTATAGTAGATTTCGAGCTTGAACGCCTGTTTTGGGTGCCAACGTGTGGGCTATGTGCTCGTCAAGGAATAACGAGCGGAAGACTCAGTGCCATGTATACCAAACTAGCACGAATAGGGTGTTCTGCATGACTTTATGAATTCTCATCACCCTTGCGTTTGCTAGTATGTACTCAGTATTTGAGACAAATATTTGCACATTATTAGACCGGTTCTTAGCTAGAAAGCACATGCATGCACAGTATTTGACTCGCAGTCTCTCGCAAAACACGGAAGGAAACAACAAAGCATCGGTTAGGTTGCAGTATGATTTTGATGTTACCCGCTAATGACATACGATCGCCCCAGAACTATGCAGTACCATCTATGAGCGTCTGGGGGTATTGAAACGATTGAAGGGAATGCTCGGCACATCGCGGTCAAAGTGTGCCGGGTTGACACCTGAATGAACGTTTCCGTGTCTGTCATTATAATCTTTGACGTCTAGTTCGCGGAACAATTCCAATGAAGGGTTTCGTCTTCGAGTCCAGACTTCAAGCAGCACGTCTTGTAGACCTTCGGCGGAAAAATGAGACACTATCGAGTTGTTTTTTTTTAGAGTCGCTGAGGCCTGGTAAGAGCAAGAAACCAGAAACGCGTTTGTCAATGTGGCATCGTCAGGGCGTGACCAGATGAAGTCGGTCAAAGTCTCTAATTTGAAAAGAGCACTGTTTGCGCTGTCGGTATTGGCAAATTCTAATAGGCTATAAACCCGCTGCAAAGAATACGAATTCGCATTCCAATAATTGAGTCGCTCATGATACAATTTTGATGCAAATTCTCTCAAGTGTGGCTCCATCCTCGCCTTTGCCAGCGCTTCTGTCACATCGCCTTCTCCGTAAGTCTTTATAAAGTTCATAATTGACACGTGATTGCGACGTGGAAGACCTTCAGCAGTGTATTCATGGAAAATCTCCAATTTTCCGCTCGTCAATGCGTCATATGCTTCGGGGCCAAATTGAAGTCGGTGCCACACTGATTCAGGTGACGAATTTCTCCACCGGTGAATTAATCTCGCTTTCAGATTTCGAACAATGAGCTTGGCGTCAGGCTCTAGTTGACGTTTCGCCTTGTTAATCTGCTGCACTAAGTTGGCTTCCCCATCAAAATGAGTCGTCAAAATCTTCAACAATACGTCCCAAATGTAAAAAAGGTAAAATTCTTTGTTCTCTTGGTTAATGTGCTCAATAATGTAAGTTTCAAGCTTTCCAAACTTTCCATTGCGTATTGCTTCGGTAAGATCGTCGCCAAAATCCAGAAATTCGAAAATTTCGGAAGGTGATATTTCCTTTTTTATCATGTTCATGTGTTGCCATGCCAATTGCCTCATCATGTGCATCTTACCATTTGCGCTCGTTGACAGGTGATGTAGCTTTTGAGTCAACTCTTCGTTACTGAATCTTACCAAGAGTGGCGCGACCGGCGAGAGTTTGTTTTTGTCTTTGGCTTTGCGATTGTACACGGTGCAAAACTTGAGCAAACCTTCCATCTCGGGACTCGTCAAAACAGAGTCGAGGTCTTCGTACTTATTCAGACTCGTCACGTAAGAGTTGTACTTTGCTAGGACAGGTCTTACCAGGCCCGCGACCATATCAGACACCTTGGCGAGCAAACCGCCATGAGCTCGCTCTTCTAGATCCTTGTTCGCTGTCTCGTGAAAACTCGATAGATTCTGAGCTGAAGAATTTGAAATAGAGACGAGACCACCATCGACGGGTACTCCAGCCGCCGTATGATATGATAAGGTTGATCGGGTGGAATTATATGCGCTGGTGGAGCATACGAGGAGGAGAATTGACACAGTGATAAGCATTTTATACTGGTGTCTTGCAGCCAAAGAGTAGAAAAAGAAACTGATTCTGTTTATCCAATCATACAGTTTTTCGCAGCTTTATCATACAACAATGCGAACAAGGCACCTTTCTTCGTCATCAAACATATGATTGAAATAAAGCGCACACCACCTGAGCCTTCCATAAAACGGGGATTTACAGTATGTATTGGATTACAAAAACTAATTCAATTCTCTCATGTTGTATTTTACATAAATTGTGTTTCTTGAATATATATAAATATCTCATCATTTTTTTTTTTTTCGATTTTAAAAAATGTAGTCTCCGATACAAACTCTCAATGCAATATAATTACCTAGAATTGCGTATCGAATAAAAAAGTGTAAGGTGTCAATAAACAATAGAGCAGTACTCACTTGCCAGCCCCAGCTCCGATAACATATAAACTGCACTAGAGCTCACACTAATTGTGACTTTTTCATACACAATGTGTAACGATATTACACGTACCCTTGTATAGAAAGGTGGGCCACACAAGATGGTAAGACCGTACATAGGTGTGGATTACACAAGTTGGTGGAATCACACAATGGTGTGGCTACACCGTAACAAGAAGGCCGAACTGCCAAAAATTATGCATATTAATTAGGTTTTGCTATTATTAGGAAAACCTAAGGTTTTACAAATAGGCGGCTCTGCCGCAAATAAAAAAGTAAATACAATTTCAATTTCAAAAAAAAGAATTTATTTACCTTGGTTAATGCTTTAGGATACTCTTGGATGTAGCGACATACCATCTCTCGTCAAGGCTTCACGCTGAGATGAAGCTATAAAATCGTCTAAAGTGGCTCGCCGGGCTGGGTCAGAGGCCTCTTACGCCATCAAGTGCTAGTCATTTTCCGTAATGAAGCGAAATGAGCTTCACGCGATTGCATTTTCCTGGTAAGTTTGTATCCTGCACATGTCGAATGGTTTGCCCTCATCGTGTCCGTCAGCAAAATACCGAGATTAGGACGCGTCAGACTTTCGAGAATCAAATGTATATCACGACATGCTTTCCCTATTTGAGCGCACGGTGGTCCCTCTTGGTCTAACCCACAGTCGCGAATCATTGGCTGTCCGTACGATATTATTCTGACAGTCAATCGCGGCGCATAGTACACATCGTTGAGCTCGATTTTGACCGCAATTCTTTCTACTATCATTGTGATCATGACTCGCTTGTTCGGTAATTTCGAGTAAATTCCTATCACGCAAAGTGCCGGAGTTTTTGGGGCAACTTACAGCTTTTTGTAGCTCATCGACATCAGTACAAAATGCCGATAAACGCCGCTAGCCTTCCATGTCTACATTGTGGTTTGATATAGCCGTAGCGTACACTAGACGATTCTGCAGCCATAGCGAGGTCTTTCGAGTCGCACGACAAGTTCTTAATGTCTTCGCAATCAGACCACCAGTGAATTCTTGTGAGCGTGATGAATAAATCCAACTGATAGCGCGGATTGCGTGGCTACCATTCTCGATCGCCAGAGCACATACCACAAATTTTATAAGGCGCTAAAAAATCGAGACATCTAGCGTCAAATTTGACTACGGGGTAGGTGAAAGAAAGCACATTCTCGAAAACAACTCCGATCTGGACATAGTAGTCTTCGAAAGTGCAACTTAAGAACGCAAATAAAAACTGCAGCAACGGTCGATATCCTTCCTTACTGAAAATGATTCACAATCTGTTGCGTTGAAAAAGTGAAATTTCGGTACTAGTCTTCAAGTTTGCTCATGACGAATTCGAGTAAAGGGTCTGTCATTCGTTAGCCACTGATCTGATTATGTAAAGAGCGCGTGACCTTCCCGCATAGAAGTCGCAAGCCGCTGTCCTGTACACCTGTGTCTATCGATAGCGGCCGGCACGCTCGTCTACGTCGATATGAACTGAATTCTTTCTCCTTAATTGGACGAGACCAGCTCCAAGCCCGCAATGTACCCGAAACCAACGAACGGCTGCATATTAAGCTTGCCATCTTTCAAGTTCGGGACCATCAACAAAACAAGCATCACCTCCATCTCCATTTTGCAAACAAAGTCGGGTCATCACTGGCTCTGAGTGTGTGACTACCAATTTTCCTGTAAAATAACTCCGTGCTGCTGTCGGAAGGCCAACGGTGGAGGCGATGAAAGCTGCTGCATGAACGTGCAGCGATGCTTGTATTTGTGCGTACCTCGGCCAGCCACTGTCTTTTGAATCGTTGACTCTTCTGACGCGAAGGTCGAAACACAGCAATCTCATTGCCTTAGTACCAATCTGCCCGGGCTTCACCCATTAGCATTCCTGGAGCCCAGATGTCACCTTAGCCAGTACCGTTAATGCTAGCGGTGGTAACTTCAAACGCCTTGTCCGACGTTGTCAAGTCACGATCCCAATCTCCGTTGCTCGCAATCATTAGAGTCTGAATCTTGCTCGGCTTTGCCAGATTGTTTGTGGTCTTATGTAGGCATCACCACGTTTTCAATATAAGCTTCGCTAACGTAGTCAGGTGTCGCTCAATCGTGCTAGCTGGGCTCATCCTGTTGTTTATTCTAGCTTCAGTTACACTGTTGTTGTCATTTAGAATCATGTATATTGGTGGTCCTTCCTATAGATTCACCCTTTCAGGAGACGTGTGGATTGGAAAGTATTGGATCATCTGGTTAACGCTCAACTTCCAACAGCTACCACGTGTAACGAGAATGAATTCGTGACACTTTTAACTTCGGATAGCTTGACTTTATTTGGTAAAATTGACAATGATGTACTTTATAAGTGGCGTGTGTTGTTCGACCTGATAACAATCTAGAAAATACAAATAATGATGGGTTGCATCATTTTAATATTTATATGATGATGTCTATTTATGTCCTGAGCAAAAGAAGTACTGGGCACTTAAAAAACACTTTGTTTGACACCTGGGTGGTGCTTGACAAACCTGGTCTTTTTACGTTAGTTAGAGCAGATTCTGAGGGTCAAAACTTCTTCTGCGCGGCAATTCCGCTGCACCACCCTTCGTGTTGATCGTCTTTCATATTGCTTGTAAAATAGCCGGTTGTTTGCAAAGTGGCAATAAATTGGAGTATCTTTCGATAAAAGTGGTATGTAAATGTCTAGAAAGTAAGAAGCATGTAACGGGCCGGATATGAAAACTTGGTACATAATCCTTACAGATTTAGTACAATTGTGTTAAATACAATTGTAGACTGCATCTTGATGTAATCGTGAATATTTATAAGATCAGTATGTATGGAGTGATGTAAGGTGGGCTGACAACCGCAAGTCAGGAAGTAAAGACACTTTCATCATAAGAGATGATAAGACAATAGTAACGGCTCAAAAGATAAATTCCATATCTTGTCAAAGCGCATAAATACTTCGTGTGTTTGTTAGCATGGACTCTCGTGCAGCAAGTTGCTGTGTACTTTTCTCAATAGACATGTTGAATATAAGAAACGCATTTACGACCGCTCAAAAGTTAGGTTCGTGTGCTTTCATCAGAGCGGAATTAAACTAGCTAGAAGCTAGCTCTGCTATTTAAAGAGTGCCTACATTAAAAAATACATTTTTACGACTTTTAATGAAAAGGTCCCTAAATATCTATCTAAATAAGGTATTTTTTATTTGTGATCAACGGTAGCATAGTGTTGTGACCCGGGTCAACTTTTGGCCAACCCGACCTGATTTGGGTCAACAGGTGCCCAACCCGGGTCAACCTGAGAAATAAGCCTAACATTTACTATTGGACTCGGTTACTCGGGTTGCCTGTATATAAGATAGGCATTTAACCAAATCTCACTA